TTAGTTTCAACATTACTTCTTTTTCTATCTGTGCTACAAAACAATGATCTAAATATCTCCCTCATCTTGGAACTGGCCTGCATAATGGTGAGAGCTTCAGCAGTTGGACAAAACAACACAAAAAACCAACTGATTATGGATTTCAGGTCACTAGAGACAGATAAATTTGAAGCACTAAATTGCACAGCGAAGTAAAATGATACTTGGACTGCAAGAAAAAGTAACATTGTTCTAGTTGCATTGATGAGGACTTGGAGTTTAGGACTTTTCAAATCGGAATTGGTATCCTTGATATTCAAAATATGTCTCATAAGAGTAAATATAGTGACCACGAGAGAAAGGAAGGTGAGAACAAATGGTAAATAGCAACCAAAAATCCCCACTGTTATTGCAAAAATGTGGTCAGTAAAGAATGCCCCACCAATAATCATGGAATCATTGGTTGAATTCCAGGCAGATTGTTCATGAAGTTTCATGGAAGTCTTCCAGATGGATGGGACACTGAAGAGAATTGATCCCATGGCTGATATCAACAGGAGCTGTGGAAGAAACATTTTGATGGACCTCTTCACCCACACAAAAATAACAAAATGGAGGTTAGAGATGGCCGAGCAGTAGTAAGTACAGAGGAAGGCAGTCAACCAATAGTCAAAGAAGCCAAGTGTACACAGAGAAATATAAGTGGTCAAATAGACTTCTTTCACAAAGAACATCTGGAACCATAGAAGGACGAACATGATCTCAGCTGTCATAAATAGCTGCAGGAGGGTGTTCACCAGTCCTTTGGTCAGGTAGATCAGATCATGCGGTTTTAGTTTCTGCCTGATTTTCACGCTTTTCAAATGAACAATTAAAATGCACATGTTCAGAGCAACTCCGGTGCTGCATTCTATTATAACTATAATTATTAATACCGTATATAGTGAAAGGAGCATGATGTTGGCTCTGTCTAAATATAGCCGCTGTCTCTGTTGGCCAAAATCAAGGAATTTCCTATAAAATCCAGGTGCTCAATGCTTCCTTGGTATATCTTCTGGCATTTGAGAGCTACAGACTTAATAGTTTGCAGCCGATATGCAGTCTGAAGGTACATGAGTTGATGCAGTGCAGACACATTCTATGAATCTGGGCTTATGCAAATATTTAGTGGATCCAATTTCCATGATTGAAATTGTAAAGAAAAAAAAAATAGATTTGCATAGTGATTTCTGCTGTTCAGTGTTAGACATCAAGGAACATACAAGAACCTTTTCTAATCCCACACCAAAGTTTTGTTAAATTGTTACCTGAAAAATATATTTTTAAGTACTTTTAACCCATGCACTCATCATTTCCTATCTGGGCTATTGCAATTCTTTGCTTTCAGACATACCAAAGCATAATTATATTCCTTAAGAATACCCTTCCTAAGTCTTCTTCTTTCAGTCAGTCTCCAAGTATTATTCTTATAGAAATTAGAGCCAATTAATTTAAACCTTTTTTTATATACTTACAAGACCTTTATTTTTCCTGTATCTGCCTTTCTATTTTATTTTGCTTGAAAGTATACTCTGAAAATATTCTGTGCCTATCTTCTTCTTATGTGACCAACTCTCCCTGATGCATCCAAGGCTTTCATTTAACTTTGGAGTCCTCTTCTCCTTTCCATCCTTCTGTGTTGTTTAAATACTCAGCTTCCCATCATTCAGTCCTACTTAGACAAGGAGGATCTATCTATTAACTATTTGACTGTAAAAAAAAGCAAAGTTTTTAGTTGTGAAGTATGATGGGGGGGGGGGCAAACAAGGGGTGAGCGCAGCATGCTGCAGGACTGTTTTAAGTGATGGGGTGGCTTTACAGCTGCTTTATTTACTTCCATAGTGTAGCTGGGAGTCTTCTGAATGAAAGTAAACTGGCTCTCAGCTGCTATATATTGAGTTATGACTGAATGTACTATATGGAAATAATGTAAGAAGGTAAATGGAGAATGTGTCAGAGAAAGCAGTGATTGCAGTATGAATGTGCATGTACACATTGTGCATTCAACTGTGTAAGAGACTTACCCCATATCGTTCCAGGGCCGCGCACACGCACGGCGTAACCTAGCTCCTCCCTCCCGCGCACAAGCCTCCTTAAGCCGCGGCAAGACGAATCTTCGGCGTCCTACTGTTTGTGACAGTGAACGCTGAAGTTTCACTTCCCTGCATCCGCAGACCGAACTGGAGACCTGGCACCACTACAACCACCACTGCTGAGGAAGGACTGAGACCTTACCCACATCCGCCTGCTGCCTCTGAACCGCAAGTACCCGGGTTGATAGAGGCACAGCTCTGCCTCAATGCTGCATGTAAAACAACCTCTGAGATAACCAGGCTGTTTATACCTCCCTTAAACTGCAAGTACCTATGGTTAAAAGACTATTCACCTCTATACCAATTGTTAGGAGATTGTCTTGCTTATTGGAGGAATTGTGCAGTCATCAATTGCTTATAGATTGTACTCTTATTTCATATTAAGATTGCATACTCATAAACCAACAACGGTTACATGATGTTCCCGGTCTCATACAAATCTCTAAGTTGCTGACAGAGTATGAGAGAGACGGCTCACTGACAAAACCGTTTCCTAAAGTCACTCCGCAGTTGCAATCCTAGGCTTGCCTTGCAGGGATATTACAAACTGTCTCTTTAACTACATATAACATAACAAACATATTTTCAATACATAGATATTGTGCACGTTCTTCAAAAGCTGGGTCTATATTTTTACCCTTGCGGTCATATAAAAAATGTTAGGGTGTAGACGCGTCATGGACTTCAAACTCATGTTTAGTCTACTAATTTGTATTGAGATTGTAGTCCATCCCGGGAGCGAGCTTGGAGCGGTGACTACTTTACAACACACACAGGGACCATGGAGAACAAAAGTAGCCCCCCCCCTCCAGAAGGAAGGACAGTGTCAGCATCAGAGATGATTGGAGGATCTACAGCCCAGTGATACACAAATAAGATACATTTTTATTAATAGTTAGGGGACTTGAATGTGTTCTGAGTTTAGTGTCAGTTTAAGCCTCCGCATTCCATCTTCTTCTGGTCCAGAATCTGCCCAGAAGGATCCTTTTCCTTTACATTTTTGTTAACAGTTAAGGTGCATTTTAAAGATTTAACTTTAACAGGGTTATTCACAAAAGGACAAAGAGTTTGGAGAAGGCCGGAGAAGTGAACAATCTAAGACAAAAGATGTTGAAATATTCTCCAATTCAGCTCACTTCCTTGTTCAGCTCTGTTGTCCTAGATTGTTCACTTCTCCAAAATCTTCACCCTTCTGTGAATAACCCTGTTAGAGTTTAGTGTCACTGTAACTTCTCGTATTTGCTTACCCTGAGTCTGTTAAGTGCACCATCTATTCATGAAGTGCAAAAATACTTGTTGATCCTGCCAGAAATGTAGTGAGTTTCTTACCTCCCATAGTGAGCAGGTTTACTTTGTAAATGCATTCAAATCTAAAGTGGTGTTTACTTTACTCCTTCCAAGCAAAGAGATTGAGAACCAGAGCTACTTGCTTCCACAACTATGCAAATGCAATGACTTGAACCAGTATGTTTGCCCAGGCAACACCATCTACTCATACTTCGCTAATCATTTCCATGGACCACAGATCTAAGAGTGGGCTAGATAACATAAGAAACCCGTCTTTATATACCATCACCAGGTGCAACGCATTATCCTTCTCCCCTTCATAATGTAATACAGCTATTGAAACCATTTCTGAAGGAAACTTCAAAACCCTCACTCAAAATATATTCATTCATCTGTTGGAAAGATATTGCTTCAATGTTTTACTTTCCTAGTAATATACCTCATTACAAAACAGACATTGAATCCCGATATCACTGACCACATCATTTTAATAGGTTGATTAAAATGCAAAATGTATTAAAACTAAAAGATAAACAAACAGGATATTATTATATTCAATACAAGTGTAGCAATAAAAGCTGCAACAACAACAATAATAAGTAACACAATAAGAATATACATAACATTACACTTAACATTTTTTTCCTTAACATTTTTTACATTTCTGACTGCTTATAAAAGTGTAGAGCCAGACTGGGCATTAGAAAACACAAAGCAGGAAGTACATTTCAGCAAGCATACAGTATACCGATTACAAACACAGTCCACTTAATTTATTTTCTGTTTTCTCTGTTTATTTTGGCTTAGCGATTATTTTCTTTCTTTCTTCCTTTCTCCCTCCCTCCCTCCCGCTCTCCCTCCCTCTCTCCCTTTCTTTCTTTCTTTCTTTCTTTCTTTCTTTCTTTCTTTCTTTCTTTCTTTCTTTCTTTCTTTCTTTCTTTCTTTCTTTCTCTCTCTCTCCCTCCCTCCCTCTCTCTCTCTCTCTCCCTCACTCCCTCTATCTCTCTCTCTCTCTCTCTCTCTCTCTCTCTCTCCTCCCCTCTCTCCTTCCCTCTCTCTCTCTCTCTCTCCTCCCCTCTCTCTCTCCCCCCCTCTCTCTCTCCCCTTCTCTCTCTCTCTCCCTCCCTCTCTCTCCCTCCCTCTCTTTCTTTCTTCATTTTGAAAATTGAGTTTTACAAAGTGACCATTCATCATTTCTATGTCTCTGACTATAGGAAGTTAAAGTGACATTAAACCCTCAGATTTTTTTAACATAAACCAATACTGTAATGTGCGCCTTACTGTAATCCATGGTTGTTTCCCTTCTCTTTGCTGTTCTTCCTTTTAAATCCTCATGTCTTCTCATGCTGGGGGAGAACTTCCCTTTGCAGCTGAGTGCCTCTTCATGTAGTGCTGGCTCAGGTTGCAAACCTACACACAGACACCATATATCCATTCCAGAGACAAGGCAGTCTGCTGCAAAACAGAAGTTCTCCCCAGCATGAGAAGAGATACGGATTTAAAAGGAAGAGCAGCAAAGAAAAGGGAAACAACCATGGATTACAGTAAGGTGCACATTACAGTATTGTTTTATGTTAAAAAATCTGAGGGTTTAATGTCACTTTAAGCATTTTGTTTATAGTTTAGAACTAGACGCTTGATCTTGCTCACTAACTTTGTGTAACTTTTTGCCTTGTCGTTGGTTGAGTTCACATTGCTTTCCATCATGCTGCGATGGTGCATGATCAAGGTTCTAGCAATACAGCCGCAGGTGACAACTATGATGAGGAAGGGTGCAGAGCTTACAATTAAAGCAATGCTCAAAAATCCTGAAGCATAGTTTGATACTGCGTTGTTGATACCTGACGTTGAATTGTTAATAGAAGAGGAATGAGGGTTCTTTAATAGAAGGACGCCAAGAAAGCTGCTAATAAGAGCTGACACTTCTACTCCCACGATCATCCATGGTACTACAGCATTGATGTTCCTTTTTGCCCAAACTATAACCCTGGCTTTAAAATCCACAATCTTTAAGAAGTAGAATATGCTAAGAACTGCCGGCAGCCAGGAACTAGAGCTCATGGTAAACATGTTCAGAGAGCAGACAACATACGCTGAGGTAGAATTGGTGATCTGGTCATTTTTAGGCACAAGAAAGCCACTGCTCACTCCGGCGAACACCGTGATCGAGTAGCAGACATTGGATATGTAAAGGGTTACACGTATTTTATTTCCTGCATTCATGGACTTTTTTCGTTTGCTTTCGTTGACTATTACAGCTATAACAAATATGGTGCAAGATATCCCAATGACCATTTCAATCAAGAGGATAAAAACGTTGGCCACAGTAAATGGATCACTAAAGATGAAAGCCATTGATCCAGATCCTCCTACAGTCAAAGCGAATGAACTGGAGCAAGAACTTAGCTTAGCAGAATCATTTTCTAATGCAGATTTCATAAGAAAAAAAAAGTGTTTTGTTTATGATGTCAATAATATGACTTTGCATGGTTTAAACTCACAGAATTTGGTTATGTGAATTTACATGAACTCGGCTAATGATAAATGACTTTCTGGAATCCCTATGTAATAGAAAACATAAGATATGCAGCTTGGACTCTGAAAGCTTTCATTAATTTTTGCAAGCCAAGATCACCAAAGAAAAGTCCCAGTAAGTGCACTAAAATTGCACTTGGCCTATAAATTGTGTTTATGCCATTGTTCTCTATGGTCTCATAAGGGTACCTAATTAAACCTTTGGTCAGAGGACATCCTTACCAGTACCATGCTTCTCTTAAACCTTCACTGTGCAGCCTAACCAGATCCACTTGTTCTACTACCCAAATTATTTAAATTTAACCTTTATATATGGTGGTCATTCTAATGGGATATAACAACTGGGCCGGATAAAACGTGAATTTTGATTTACACAGTCATTCTTTGACCTTTATCCAAGCAATAAAATCCTCCTATCACTGCAGATCAATGTGGGAGAACAATAGTGACTTGTTGAGGTTATCCAGCCTGTTTGGTTGATGCTCCCCCCTACCACCACCGCCACCACCAATCCAGGAGGATTATATTTTTACCAAGTATTAACTGGGAATGAAAGCAATTAAGTGCAAATAGTGGTCTCAGTAATAAGAGACTTGCATAAGTGGGATTTTTCTATGGATGAAAGATCTCCCAAACACTGGACAAGGTCTATGGAATGTTAAGGAGACTTTCAGATTTTGTTGGAGAGGGTTATATGGAAAAGTGCTCTAACCCAGAGAAAGAAGTAATTAAACAACAATGTATTTGTTGTAATAGTGAAACCAGTATCAGTATCTGTGCCGAGTATTCGTACAAATGCACCAATGCCAAAAAACAATAGTGATGCTTTAATTATTCAGATTAAAGCAGCTTGCTTAGGACCTGTGCTTGCCGGGGACCTAGCAGTATCCTTCTTGGGAACCAGCCCATTCATCTCCCCCTTCTGAGACCCTTCGTACAGCTCCCCATCCCTCACCTATACACTGTATAGGTGAGGGATGCACAGATCATGTATCCAATGCTTTTAATTTAGTCATTGAGTGACGTTCAAATCTTTTTCAATATACTGCAATGGTGCTTCATTAAGGTTCCCACAATACAAATGGAGTTGACCAAAATGAGGAGGAATGGGGGACAGCTTACAGCCACATCAATGCTCAAAATTGAGGAGGACTTTAATATTGAGATATTTAAAGTATTGTTGAATGGTTCATAGAGTTTTAAGGGTTAAAAAAGAGCAGAATACTAAGGAAACTGGTGAAAAGAATTACCACTTCAGCTCTATGCATGATCCATGGCACAATAGGATTGATGTTCTTCTTTGCCTAGACTATGACCCTGGCTTTAAAATCCACCGTCTTTAAGAAATAGAATAAGCTGAGATTTGCTGTCAGTTAGGAACTAGAGCTCATCGTAAACATGTTCAGAGAGTGGACAACATATGCCGAGGTAGAATCTGTGATTTGCACACTTCTTGCCCCAAGAAAGCCACTGATCGCTCCAACAAACAATGAGATTGAGGGGTTGATTTACTAACCTTATAAACACACCACGAACGTGTATACACCTCTGCAGTGTGTTCCCTCCCAGCATGATCTATGGGTGGAATCTAAACACCTTTGTAGTGTGTACACACCCAGCAGGTGTGTTGTGCAAAGCCCTGAAGGAATTCCAAGGTGATGTTGTGTAAACTAGCTCTATGTTGTGTTGCTTGCGTTGATGAATGCAGGAATGTAAATGCATGAGCTAACCATTTTTGTCTAAACTGTGAAGCAGCATTATATATGCATCATGTGCATGATTTTTCCATATATGGCATTAGTGGAAATATGCTTTTAGAGACTTTTTGGTTGATAAATACGTTTTGCTGTGTGAAAATCACACACACCTGGTGTGTGTGTGTGTGTGTTTAGGTTAGTAAATCACCCCCTGAGTCTCAGACATTTGGTGTGTTCAAAGCGATTCATATGTTATTTCATATCACTGATACCAACGGGGAAAGGGAGACTTAAAGGAGAACTATGAGGGGGAGGGGCTTTTCACTCACCTCATAGTTCTAGCCGACCTGTGACAATGAGACTGTCACAGGCCGGCTCAGTAGATCGGGAGGTGAGCGAACACATACCGGCGTTCGCTCTCTGCCGTGACAGGGGAGGGGCTGGATTCCCTTCTCCCTGCTCCGATCCGCCAGCGCTGACTGGCTGAACGGACGGGTACAGCTGGCTCTGCCGGGAGTCGGGATCCGCTCCGGCTGCGGCGTCTCAGTATACCGCTACAGCTGAGCTGTAGCGAGAGGACGCTAGTTTGTGTCCTCCCGTTACCCTAAGGAGAACTATGGGGAAAAGCCCTGACCCCATAGTTCTCCTTTAATTCAAATATCATTACTACTCTATTTGATCATCTCGGCAGTGCTATATAGTTAGTAATTCATTAATACAAAATCCCCCCCCCAAAAAAAAGCACATTACCGAGATGCTTTGTATATAATTCTACCATATAAATGTATTTATCCAACAATAGTTTTTACATCAACATTTTAAAAGATAAGACTCTATAAATGAATATATAAATGTAGAAATACACCTCCACAAAAATAGCATAGCCTGCGGACCCAGTTCATATATATACACATTTACTATTTGTTTGTAACTATTTTATTTCCTGTCTTCATGCTCTACTTTCTTTTGCTTTCATTGATGATTACACAGAAAATAAATACACTGGGAGATATTCCAACAACTGTTATAAGTAAAAGAAGAAAAATGCAGGCTGGGGTTGGAGGATCACTAACGATGGAAGCCATTGATCCAGATTTTGCAGTGGGTGAGAGCCGATCGATCTGACTCGTGGTCTGCACATACACATTGGCTTAGCAAAAAAAAAAAACGTTTGAATTCGCTTACAAAGGAATCAGTTTTGTTGTTTATGTTCCTTGCAAATATTTGTCGAAGCAATACCACTACTTTGCAAATTATAAACTTACGGAATTTGCATACGTGAATTTACAAGCTTAGTAAAGCATGACTTCCCAGAATGCTCGTGAAGTGGACCCTAACCCATTTTATATCACTAAAGCTAGCCATAAATTCTGATTGTGCTTTTGTTTTAATTAACTCCTTTAAAACTAAGAAAACAATTAACTGTGAGGGACTACCTAAATGATCCATTCAATTGGTTAATTGTGTGGTTATTGGTATATCTAAGTGACATTGCACAATCAGATCATATGTGTATGATTTGCTTTATCACTATTAGGGATGTATTTATAATGTATATATGTATATGTATTTATTGTCATTGCTGAGCCTGATGAAGGGGACCCTGTGTGGCCCCGAACGCGCTAGTTTTGGTGACATGACATTCCAATAAACAAACTCTTTGGACTGCAATACTGGTTGTGTGCTTGTGACATTTATTCATCTTTATGCTGCGTGGCGGCGCCATCCGCAGGTCACTACGAGCACCCCCCTCATTCAACTTTGTTTTTTTCCGGTAAGGAGTGCGACAAGGTATCTTTTTGTTTGTATTTATAACATGTTCGCAGATGGAGCAACTCTGCAATTATCTAAGTTTTAGATTTGCACCTAATTATGGCCACTAGATAGAACCGAGGGGCATAGGGAATTGCTATGCTTCCCATCTCCATTTAGTGGCCATAATGTGAATGATTTATAAAAAGACCCCTTATTGTTCCTAAGGCTGGGCACACACCTTATAACCATCGCAGGACTTTTGTCTTGCGATGGTTGTAAGGTACTTAAAAAAAGTACGATCTGCCTATCTTGCATAGGCAGATCGTACTTGCGATGATCGCAAGCCACGCCCCCTGATGACCGCAATGCCGAACGGGCAGTGTGCGATTGCACACACCGGAACGTACGGCTTTTATCGTACGAACATGCCACAAACCCGCCGAACATCGTACGATGCTCGGCGGGTTTTCGAACATGTCCGTAAGTTAAAAGCCGTGCGACCTTACAGTAGTAGAGGTCGCACGGCTTCCACATACCTTACGATAATCGTACGATCGCTGGATTTCCCGCCATTATCGTATGATTATCGTAAGGTGTGTGGGGACCTTAAGTGAAGTTCCGCTAATCAATATGGATCACAATCCAACATTCAAACACATGGAGACCTTCTCTTTGATGTGCTTAAATACACGAATCCAGGCTTCCTGCAGCTTGGCTGTAACAACAATTAGGAAAACCGACTGAACAGGTGTAAAAGAAACCATAACGATCAAAACCATCCAAAATCCAGTACTCAATGTGGGAAAAACATTAAATGAAAAGAGAAACAATGACACATAAAAGATTACAAAGAACAACAGAAGACAAAACATATTACGGACAATACTTTGGTAAGTTTTTATATTTTCATTGATAGTGGTCACTGTGTTCTTCTCCATTTTTTGAGTATGCAGGTTGAGGGACACCACTGATAAGGTTGTTGTGATAATTATAATAAAAAGGGGGACACAGGCACTAATAAAAGAAATATTTGTTGGAGAATTTTCATAATTAGAGGAAAAGTTGGTGAGGACCAGGACGTCGTGACTATTCAAGCTCTTGGATTTAATCAACGGTATCATGACTGTAGAACTGCTGAAGACAGATGCAATTTCAGATACCAATATCAACCACTTCACAACGGTGTTGATCTTGAGCTTCACCCAACGAAGAAGACGACAGTTGAACGTGTTGATTTTTGAGAAATAAAAGAAGAAGAGGCAAGCAGAAAGCCAGACACAAGACGTCTGACTGTACAAGGTCAGAGAAAACACGGTGTAGGTTACATAAAATGCGTTGTAAATCTCAGGCCAAATGCAACTTGAGAAA